CCCTGGCCGGGGCCAGCTGTCTTGGACTCCTGGCCAGGCGGCATGTGTGCACACGAGGCGGCTCCACAGATCACTGCCACACGCCTCCACCTTCAGTGTCGGGCGCACTCCCCACCTGGGTCACACCCTGCAGCAGGCACTGTTTCCATGTCTCTCCCCCTGCCCGGGGGATTCCCTGCTCTGAGTCACACCAGGCTTAAATGGCAGTGTTGGCCTCCCCAGGGGACTCCACTCTTGTCCATTTGCCATATGGGGCTCAGAGAGGGTCTGGAGGGGCTAGATGAGGGTAGTGGTGTGGGATGGGCCACTGCCACTGCCGAGTCTCCCATTTGCCAGCAGCAGAAACCAACATTAAGTCCAAGATATGGGACCATTCCTCAGGGAGATCAACCAGCAACTTGGTGGCAGGTTGATTACATAGGACCACTTCCGTCATGGAAGGGACAGCGTTTAGTTCTTACTGGAATAGACACCTACTCTGGATATGGATTTGCCTTCCCTGCACGCGATGCTTCTACCAAAACTACTATTCGTGAACTTACAGAATGCCTCATCCACCGGCATGGCATCCCACATAGCATTGCTTCAGATCAAGGAACTCACTTCACAGCAAATGCAGTGCGGCAGTGGGCCCATGCCCACGGAATCCACTGGTCGTATCATGTTCCTCATCATCCTGAAGCTGCTGGCTTGACAGAGCGTTGGAATGGGCTCCTAAAGGGAACCATGAAGAAAACTCCTCTCTGGGACTGAGTGTTAAAGGGAGCCTGTGAGCAGACTGAAATGCTTGGTAGGTGACCACCTGGATCTACTTGTTGAGTGGAAGTCGGAGAAATGCAGCAATAAAAAGACAGGTTGAGTTTGGCCACTGACACCTGTGGACTTGGTTTACAGGAAAAAGAGAAGATGAGAGCGGATCAACTGGTCTCGGGTTCATGACCTAACACTAGGGGCCTAGGCTTGTTGAGTATTTGTGAGAGCCCATGGTCTAAAGGCAAGGCGACCAATGGGCACCCTGAGGAGGCTGGCTAAGGCCGCTCCACCCTGGTTGGGCCATCAGAATGCAAGAGACCCAAGAACTAGAAAGGCAAGGCTCATAACCATTTATCCCTCCGCCCTTCAATTAACCCCACGTGTGTTTATCGGCCAGGTTGGCACACCACACTAACTACCTCAAGTGTCCCAGAGAAATTCTTCCAGGGTGGCCCTTGCTCCCACCAAGAGCAAGCAGGTGTGCTGTCGTGACGGGAGAAAACATGGACTCCTTTGTATTATCTTTCTGGCCTCTTTCTCTGACGCAGTGTTTGCTTTCCTTAAAACTTCTTCTTAAACCCCCGTGATCATGCAGTGTGCTCCAAGGAAATCTGTCAAGATGACCCCGCCAGGGTACAGAGAAACAGTAGACATCCCCTTCTGGGGTGGCCTCTGCATTGAATGGAACTGACCAAACAGACCCCCCACCCTAAGGAGACAAGACCCGTGTCTGCCTGACACAGCTGTCTGCAAGCAGGCACTGAAGGCAGACAGGTTACAACACGTGTGCTTGGACTAAACCCCTGAATGGGTGACCTGGGACTCTTAGTATTAACACTTTCTGGTTGTGTGTGTGTGTGTGTGCGTGCAAGATGCAAGAATGCTTCAAACATTCATCAAAAGATTCCATTATCTTTTAATTCCATTTGCCCCTGAATTGTTTGAAGCACCCTCATATATATAGATAGGAGAGCGAGAAACACAGGGAGGGACACAGAGAGGGGAAAGGAGAGATTTTTTTTTCTTTATTGCTTTTTATTGTTTTCTTTTTTTAAATCATTTTATTGGGGCTCATGCAACTCTTATCACAGTCGATACATACATCAATTGTGTAAAGCACACTTATACATCCGTTGCCCTCGTCATTCTCAAAGGGAAAGGGAGACATGTACTTGAAGGCTATGGCTCATACAGTTGTGGAGGCTAACAGGCTACACTCACTCTCTGCTGTTGAGCTGATTCTGACTCCTAGCAACCCTACAGGATAGAGTAGAACTGGCCCTGTGGGTTTCCAAGACTAACTGTTCATGGGAATAGAAAGCCTCTTTCTCCCTTGGAGCAGCTGGTGGTTTAGAACTGCTGACCTTGTGGTTCGTTGCTGAATCCACTATAACTACTACACAACCAGGCCTGCTCATAATGAGCTAAGAAGTTCCAAATCTGAAAGGTGGCAGGCCGGAGGCTTCCTCAGACTCCAGTCCCTGGAGCCAGAGGTCAGGTGATGAAGAGTACAGGGTCACAGGAGTTTTGAACCAGAGACCTGGAGTTTCGCTGGAAGATGTATGCTGGCAGGCAGGCCCACGCGCTAGATGAAACGCCCCCTTCAGCTGATTGGCTGCTCACATCCAATCCTATTGTGGACGATGATTACATTGTATGACATTGTGGAAGAGCACAGAGCCCAGTGGAGACAGAATATAGACCATCGGCAGACGCCCGTGTTGTAAAGAGCACGGTACAGCCGAGCATGAGCTACAAATCGTTTCCTTGGCCTTTCATTTGTGTACGGGGCAGGAGGGACATGAAAATGATGGGGAAACAGGACACACATGAATACAAGTCGTTGCCTGCCGAGCCCGCCTTTTCTGTAAGCCCACCTGCTGGGGCAGTGCTGTCCGTGGTTTTCACGGTGGCTCATGCTTCGTATGACCCTGTACCATAGCTGAGCAGCAGTTTATGGTTTAAACTTCTCTGATAGAGCCCGGGGGTCCCTGAGAGTGTGACCTGAGACAGCCCTTTAGGCCTGGATCAGGCCCACCGTCCCACAGAGGATAGGCAGATACCACAAACAGCTGCACCTGTGGGAACATGCTCATCAGCCAGGGGGCCAGCAGGCAGCGTGTGCTGCACGCACGCACGCACGCACGCATGCACAGCTCAGGAAGCAGCAAGGCCGAGGTGTCTGTGGAACTCTGAGCCCGGGGAGGGCAGGGCAGAGAGGTGTGCATGAGGGTGCTGTGACCCACGTTGGAACAGAAGGTGTGTGGATTGTTGGCCAGGTAGAGGTGCACCCTCGCCACCACGTACAAGTGTTTGCAACTTTGCCCGTGAATTCCCTTTCTAGCCTCCAGGAGGGAAGGGTGTCGGCTCAGCTCCCTGTGGAGTCCCCTAAAATGAGGGTGTGGGGCAGTTCCTCGGATTTGCCCCGGAGTGTTTCTCGACTCTCCCCGCGGTTTAGTGGACAGATTTGAAGGAAACACCCACGGAACCTCCCTCGTCCTGTGTGCCCCCCCCCGCCCCCGCCATCTCCAAGACTGGTAGGACGGGAGAATGCAATGCCATTGATCATTGCCCCCCTCCCCCGCCACCAATAAAAAAGAAATTGGCCATCAAATAAACAGACCTTGGTGGTTTGGGGTTCGTTTCCTTCTGGGCGGGGCTTAGGTGCTGGGAAGCGGGCGGGCCTTAGGTACTGGGAACGGGGTGGGGACCATGGCAAGACCTCCATGATCCTCAGTGGCCAGAACCTGATGACCCGTTTTACTTTGGATCCCCCAAATGATTTTTTAAAAAATATCCCGGTGCCTGCCTGTCTTCCGCGCCCGGATCGATACGCTGATAGTTCTGCGATGACAGAGTGCCGCAGTGGCTCGCTCTAATTTAAACATGATTAGCTGATGAAGGTTATGATCGATACATGGCGGGGAGATAAATTAATTGATACCATCCTTTTCAGGATGCTGAGCGGCCAATTGGAGGTGGGCCCTAACTAATGGAGCTGCTGCCGAGTCTCCAGGAGCCATTTTTTATACGCCACGTTTTCACTTAATCATATTTATGCCATCGTTCATGTACTCGGAGACTGGGGGCTGTGGAACAAGCACCTGGTTCTTACTTGGCAAGGTGGCACCCTTTGCAAGAAGGAATGACCTGCAAGGCCGGTGTCTCCCGGTCCTGTTATGGTCACCCATCGGTGCGAGGTGTGCTTTTGCATGGGCCAAACCAGCCACTCAGGTTTGGCTAGCTAGACCAGACAAGCCCACCGTGACCCACGGCCCATCACCGCCTGCCCCGCAAAGTGACCTGTGCCCAGAGGGAAGCCCAGCTCCCACCCAGCAGCGCCACCTGCTGGTGGAGGAAGCTTTCCCGTCCCTGACATCCTTGCCAATTCCATCCCTATGGCTCTATCGACCAGCCTGGTTGCCGAGGGAAGTTACGGCTGGTTGGATCTAGATTCATATTGATTTAAGATAAACTCCCCTCGTCGGCGGTCGTATATTTAAACGTAACAAATAAAATCAAAAGAGACCTTTGAGATAATTGAGTGCCCTTGAGTTTAATTCCACACTAAGCTAGGCTTTGTATTCCTCACACCCCTCTCCCACCTTCCCCCAAAACAGAAGAAGAGGTGTTTGGCATTTTGCTTCAATGTGTGACCTTGCATTATGTAGGGAACAAGATGGTGAGTGTTTCCATTTTGCATTCAGGTTTCTGGGGGCGACCTGTGCAGGGCTGCTGAGGGGTCTCTGGGGGTGTGGGGCAGCTGCCCCTTCTATCTCCCCCAGTGTGGTGTCTTCCCAAGGTCACCCTGGTGTCCAAGATGGCAGCCCACAGGAATGCCAGGCACCAAGGACAAAAAAGACAGAGAGGACTGGGAGCTGCCCCGGAACCCTTCTGCCTCTACCACATTGGCTAGAGGTGGGGGCCTGGTTCTGGGAAGGCACGTGCCTAGCCAGCACCCAGGAATCCTATTCCTTTTGAAAGGGGAAGGTCCTGGGGGCTGTGCAAAGGTTTGGCGAGTCCACAATCACCAAGCGGCTCAGCTCCACCAATATGGCAGCCGGCAGGGAAAGGGCAGGGTCTCAATGCTCTACTGTAACACCAGCGAGCACAGTATGGGTTTGCCTTTCGGGAAGGATGTGCTGATGTTGTTGGGGGGAGAGCGACAGATCTTGGGGCCAGACTCCAAGCCCCTCCGTATGCCCTTGGCCTCCGGCGTGACCTTTCTGTCTCTCTGTGTTTTCTAGTTGCCCAGAAGATTGTGGCCACGCGGAAGAAGCAGCAGCTCTCCATTGGGCCCTGCAAGTCCTTGCCCAACTCTCCCAGCCACTCCTCCGTCTGCTCGGCCCAGGTGTCGGCTGTGCACATCAGCCAGGTACCGCAACCACCTCACGCTCATGCACCTGGGCAGGAGGGGCCTCTGAGAACCAGGGAGAAGCTGGCCATCGCAGTGCACAGCCCAGTTTAAGGGCGAGCTGTTCTTTCCCCCTCCTTTTTGATGTAGAAATAAAGGGCAGCCTGGTTAGGAAGGGATTCGTGCTCCCTTCAGCAGCTGCTATGGCTCGGTGTGCCCTTGGGGGGCGGGCATTCAGGGTGTAACAGGTCCTGTGGTAGAGTGATGGCCGGGTCGGGCTTCTCATTCAATCACCCCCTTACACCTGTGCCACTGAGGGACAAACAGCCCTTTGTGGTGAAACCTCCACAGTGAATCAATTCCTCACTGGATACGCCAATTGGGGCCAAGTGTTTGATTATAATTAACTACCATCTCCCTCCCCCACCCAGGGAAACCTCTTGGCATAATGGTTTCCTATTGGGCTACTTAACTGCAAGATTAGCAGTTCAAATCCGCTAGCTACCTCAGGGAGCAAGATGAAAGAATGACAACCTTAGCAATTCACAGGGGCAGTTCGACCCTGTCCTGCGGGGTCGCTGTGAGTGAGAATCAACTCGATGGCATTGGGTTTGGCTGGGGTTTTGGATCCCCACCGTTGCCTTGGACTTGACTCTGGCTCAGAGCGACTCTGTGTAGGGTCTCCAAAGCTGTCCCTGGAGCAGACAGCCTCGTTTTTTCTCCTGAGGAGCAGCTAGTGGATTTGAACCACCTACCTTGTGGTTAGCATCCCAACCCGTATTCTACCTCACCACCACATCTCTGTGCCACCTGCCTTCCACCCCCCCAAAGCAAATCCACAGCCATTGACGTGGGCTCACAGCGACCGTGTACCCCCAGGAACGACTCGCTCTTGTGTTTTCCCCTGACAACATCTTACTAATTCGTTACTTGGAAGCAGAGGACATAATGATCCCTTAGAAGAGGCCAAACCGGTGCCCACGGAATAAAGAGTGAGCACCCACCCCATGTAAGGATGAACAGGCGTTACATTGAGGTGCACACACGTTTTCTTGGGTCGCTGCCCTGTTTTATTTTTTGAAGGGTATGATGAGAAGATTTCCAGGTGAGCTCGGATTGCTTAGTGCCAGGAATTCCGTGGCCGCTTTCCTGTCAGCACAGGTGCCGTCCCCATAGTTAGCCTTAGTCTTCCATGCATCTTGGGATGTCTTCCAAAGACAGCCCCGTCTTCCAGATGTCCTTTCCAGAATGTTCACTATGGTTGTGGGACTCAGTGAGTTTAACTCTTTGGCTGCCAGTGGGCTTTGGCCGACCGCCCCCTTTTCAGGGAACAAACCAAAGCTCAGCACTCCCCAGCTGCAGACTGTTAGCCCACAGCCTATCATGGTAAAGTACAGCGTCTGCTTTTACCACGCGGCCCCACGTTGCCCCCAGCCTTGCCCTCCAGGGCGTGGCCTTGCTGGCGTTGGAACACACTGAGAGTCCTTGCCCCGAGGCCGTCCCAGGATGCCTCGGAGCGAGTCTCTGACCCCAACCCGCTTTTCGCCCATTGCAGACCAGCAACGGAGGTGGGAGTCTGAGCGACTACTCGTCCTCTGTCCCCTCCACCCCGAGTACCAGCCAGAAGGAGCTGCGCATTGAGGTCCCTCCCACCACCAACACGCCCACGCCCGTCCGTAAGCAGTCCAAGCGCCGGTCCAACCTCTTCACCGTGAGTGTCCCCGGAGGGAGAGCCCTGTGTGCTGGCCGCCGCCTCGGCCAGGCCGGCCCGGTGCCGGTTGTAGAACCCAGATGAGATCAGTGGGCGCGGCCGGGTTTCTGGGCTCTGAGATTGCCGGCAAGGCTGGGATGCCAAGGGTTAGGAGCAGGGGGTGGGTAGGGGGTGGGTCTGTGCTGGGGCCTCTTGGAGCCTTTGGCTGCCCTGCAGTCATCCCCCTGGCTCCCCTGGGGGAAGGCTTGTCACACCTCTGAATTCAGGGACCACTCTGAGGAGGTTACATCGGCCGAGGGTCCTGTGTGTGTGTGTGTGTGTGTGTGTGTGTGTGTGTGTGTGTGTGTGTGTGTGTGAGTGCTGGCAGGAAGTAAGAAGGGCCCAGAAATGAACATCTCGTGTCTGTCTGGGCACAGAGACCTATGTTGTGCCCTCTCACACCCCACACGTCTCTGCCTGGAAGGCCCTCCACTAGGGTTTTCTTTGGGGCCTTGTGTGAAGCACATGGGTGCCATAGAGCAGACCTCTAGGCTCACCGCCGTGAGCTTGGAATCCGAGATGGGGCACACCAGGGGAATGGCTTCCAGAAGACCCCTGAACCACAGAGAAGCAGGAAACCCGGCTACCCTGCCGGTGCCCTGGGTCTAGCAGACATCACCAATCAATCCTAGAGCATGCCAGGCTGCTGTCGCTGTCACCAGACTGCACTGATCCATGAGAGGAGTGCCCTGCTCCTGGGACCCCCTGGTTCCTTGCTGCCAGTGTCCTTTGAAATGGTGTTCATGTGCCCGGAGCCTTGACACACCCCCTGGCATGGAGTGAGTCGATGCCACTCAGGCCAGCCCGCATGGGCAGAGGAGAGCTGCCTCTGCAGGGTTGCTGAGGCAACAGGTCTTAATGGGAGCAGAAGCCTCGTCTCTTCTCAGAGGAACACCTGACAGGTTTGAATTGCTGGCCTTGTGGTTAGCAGCCCGCATCTGAAACCCCACCCCCCCACCCCCCGCCTGCACCACTGAGACACCTGTGCCATGAAACACACCTGCTTTGAAGCCAGGCTCTCACCTGGGGCAGACATGGGCATTAGGGCCATACAAGGAAGAGGGTTGTCTTCACAGCAACCTGATCTGGCCGAGAGGTCGGTGGGGGCCTGTTTCATACACCATTTGATGTCTTGTGTGGCCACCTGCTGCCTTGGCTATGGGGACTGCCCGTATCCTCCGAGCTGGGCTGAGGAAGACCCTATGGGGTCCCAGGGGACCTCACGTCCCTGACACTGTGTGTGACTGCTCCATCCCCGGCTCATCTCTGTCACGCGGTAGCCTCTCTCTCGGGGCTGACCATTTCTGCCGGGGCCCCAGCCTGCCCCTCTTCAGCTTGGGGAATCGCCGGCACCATGTTGGTGTTCTGATCTAGGTCCCAGCGTTGAGGTGAACCAGTCAGGAGAAGGCACGCCCTGGCTCTCAGCCCCCTGTGACCTCTTAGAGCTAGGCACAGCCCTAGGGGAGGGGTGGGCTTGTCGTGAAGACTGAGCGGCGTGGGTGAGTCAGGGCTGTACTTGCCCTTCACTGGCAGGTTATGCCAATGCCCGCCATGGTGTCCAGCTGTTACAGTGCCACGGATCATCTGATGGTAGATTGGGAGATAGTCTTCCAGTTTCTGCAGAATCCTGCTGATCAGCCGTGTGCTTGTTTTTCTGAGAACAGAATGGGTCTGCTGGGAGTGGGGTGCCCTCATAGGTTCCGCGGGCAGCTGCCCTCACCTCTGAGGTCGCTTCCTGGGCCTTGTCGGGTGCCTCGCAGTCTCAGTCTCAGCCCAGGTCGGGCGCTTGCTTCCCCTCAGAGCAAGCTGCATGTGAACCCGAGACCCGGTTCAGAATGCCGGGGGAGTGAGCAATGAGAAGGACTAGCAGGCAGAGGGCAAGATGGCTCATTGGTGACCAGGGACAGGTCTTCACATGTCTGTCACTCTGAGAAAGGAAGACAGTTGGCCTCACATGGGCACCCAAAGGCCACCCAAGCATCTGACTCCAGTTCTGGTCCCGAGGAAAGAAAGGAAGGAGGAGCCAGCAGTACCAGTCAGTACCAGGGAGTGCTCTGCTGGAAGGCCCTGCTGTCCGTAAGGGCAGCCCTCGATCGGGAGTGTGTCTGACAGGTGTATCCTGAGCCCCTCCTGCTGAGCATGTCAGACAGCCCAGTCGGCTGTCTGAGGAGAGTGCTGTAAACCTGAAGAAGCAGTCTGAGCCTGGGTTTGTGGGAGCTCAGGTTGCCCAGGTGGACCCAAAGGGGGGCAGGGACTCCACACAGTGAGGCATATAGGAGGCAGGATGGTATGGGACCTTTTGCTCTCCCAACCACAGTAGGCATGCACACATACATCCACATGCGTGCACCCGAGTAGATACATGGGTACACATCGTGCTCACATACAGATGTGCGTGCACACAGAAACTGTCAGTGTGTCTATGCCGACTCACAGCGAGCCTATAGGACAGAGTAGAACTGCCCCCGTGGGTCTCTGAGAATGCCACTTGTGAGGGGAGTAGAAAGCACTGTCTTTCTCCCGAGGAGCAGCTGGTGGTTTCGAACTGCTGACCCTGTGCAGGTATCCATAAAGACTCCAGGAAGACGCAGCCAACTGGGGTGGGCAGGACAAGTCTCAGGAGGCTGTGCCATCTTGCCACTGCGCTGACCAGATATGATCCTCTCCTACACTGCACCCCAGTCCACGGCTCCCGTGATTCAGCGCACAGCCTGTGAGCCCTTGCTTGGCCTCCGGATGTCGGAAGCACCTGCTGATGGACCGCGGAGGACACGTGGCCCTTCGAAGCAGGACTACTGCCTGGCCCTGGGTGACAGTGGCAGCAGGCATCTGAGGTCATACCTGTGAGGACCCCTGAGGGAGGTGCCCCTGGAATGGACAGCTCAGCTTGCCAACTGGTCCGAGCTAAAGAATGCGACCGTGAAGAGCATAACGGGTGTGAGGGTTTGATGCTGGAGCTCCGGGAGAGACCTAAGTCCACTAGGTGTCAGCGTCACCCAGGGATCGACGGGAAGGAGGCGCGCTGTGGTGGGAAGGACAATCCCCCGTCACCCAGGGATCGACGGGAAGGAAACAGTCGCCCTAGAAAGGCCCTTCTTCCTGTTGCCGGTTGGAGCCTGGTTCTGCGATGTGGCTTTAATGGCCAAAGGACGTTCTTGCCGTGAGAAGGTTCTCAGCCCAGTGCAGATGCAGGGTGGGCCACACAGTCTCAGCGGATTAAAACCCAAGCCGCCTGGGCTTGGCTTGGCCACCTTCCCGGGGTAGCGAGTCATAACGAGGCCGGGGTGAGTGGAGGCTTGGGTAATTGCCCATCCTCTTTCAAAGGCCATGCTTAGAGATGGTGTCATGGTGGGGAGGGGTCCCCACCCCATCCTACATCTGATTTCGTCTATTTACTTGAAGCGTCATGATTTTCAGACACTGAGGGGAAAACAAGCAGACCTATAAAAACCCCCCTCCATGAAAATGCTAGGTCCACGGGGCCCCTGGTTGGGCGTGTGCTCTCCATGTGCTCCCCTGAGGCTCGGGCCCCCCATGGGTGTGATGTTTCCACATAGGAATCGCAGACAGGAGTTATCCGAGCCTTCCCAAGCACTTGGCTGTCTGCGGCTCTCACCCTCCCCCCCCCCCCCCCCCCCCCCCCCCCCCCATCTCCTGAAATAAGCAAGTTCACGGCCTCCACGCACCCCACCCCACCCCAGGAACCCTTGAAATGGGCATGGCTTTTCTCCTGTACGTTTGTAAAACCGAGCCCTTTGTACCCACGACCTGTGCCTGGCCCGTCTTCACGCATTAGGGGTGAAGCCCTTTCTAGGACACGTCTTGTGCCCTCTAGTGTCCACACTGCCCAGCGGGGCCAGCTTATGCAGTGGCCGACTTGGGTTTGGGGAGACTCTCACTCAGCTCACGGCCACTGGGTGTCAGCACAAGGTGGCCAAGGCCAGGGTTGGGAAAGGACTGGGCTGCCTGTGGGGAGCGGGAAGCAAGGGCCCTGCACAGGGTCCTTGGTGACAAAGCAGGCTGCTGTTGGGGAGGAGGGACGCTTGGGGACACTGCTCACCTCCAAGCGGGTCCTGATGGCGCTGTGGCTGTGGGACTTCGTTCACCATTGGGAGAGAAGCACACGGTGGAGGGGCGGTGTCGGCAGGCAGTGGATGGAGGCGGTCCATCTCCCCTCTGCCGGCCGGCTGTGTGACGGTGATGCTAAACCAGCGCACCTTCAGTGGTGGCATGGCCGCTCCTTCATCTGCAGCCAGCGCTGCCAGGCAGGAAGCTGAGCGCAGTCATGTTGACCTGTGTCCTGGGTGCAGGTGGCCACTCTGCCGCTAACTGCCTCACAGCCCGCTGAACAGCAGTGGGAGATGACAGCATGCTGGTCCCCCCCAGTGGACTGTGCACTGCAGAGCCTCCCGGGGATGCGGTCCAGTCCTGAGGTCGGGCTGCACCTCTCTGGGCATCTGAGGCAGCCAGAAACGAACTGTGAGTCTGAGAAGGAGCCTGCCCCCTGCATCCTTCTTCCCCACAGCAGCTGTGCTCACTCCTTGAAATTCCAGTCCCTGAACACACGCGCGCGCGCGCAGGTGCCCCTCCTACTGCTGCCAGGAGACTCCTCTCTCATGCTCGCTGGCCCGGCTTGGCAGGACCCTGTCGCTTTCCTTTCTGAGTCTGCGAGCCACGTGGAGCTGAACTCCCTGTCCTTTGGGTTCTGAGGGCTCTGCAGGAACCCGGTGGCCCGCTTCTTCCCGTTTTCTGTGCATGGAAACCCTGGAAACAGCCCCACCCCCCACCCTCCCTCCAGAACAGCAAGGGGCGGGAGCAGCTGGGCGCTGCCTTAAGGGGCGTGTTCATTTTCCTGTGGGTTTTTCCCGTTCCCCTTCTCCTCGAGTTTGTTTTGCTAATTATTCTGATTAATCCAAGAATAATGAAGATGGATTTTCCGGTGTCGGAGTTCAGGATTTGGGAAGTGCCGGGGGTTGGAGGTGCTGTGGGGGTTCACGGGCTGGTGCTGTGCACTGGGGGCTCCGCGGCTCGTTTGCTTTTTACGGGGTCTGCAGAGGAGGTGAGCTGGGAGCCCACACAAGCCCAAACACCAGACCTAACCCACTGCCACTGTGCCCCCTATGACACACAGCAACCCCGGTCAGAGACTGCTCACCATCAAGGCAGCCGGCCCTTCCTCTGTCTCCCGAGGAGCACCCGGTGGGCTTGAACCGCTGACCTTGCTCAGGGCTTTTTGCTCTCCTCCTGGGACCTAGTGACATACAAGCAAGTCCGCCCATGGTTGACACACCGGGATGCAGGTGTGCCGGCATGGATGCTGTTCAGGTGACCCTGCTAAGCCCAGAAAGCCCATGGCAGGACACAAAGTGACTCAGTCCCCTTTGCAGGCCAGGTACAGGGCGGTCCCCTTAGGAGAGCCCACAGACTCACCGAGGACTTCGAATCTGACAGTCGGGCTCATCACAGGCCAGGTTCCCCGTGAGCTAAGATTTTGGGGAGCAGGCCTCAGGGAGCCCCTGTTGGCTCATTGCGCCTGTGCAGGTCGACACAGAGGGAGCCCCCCATCCCTAGGGAGACTCATGGCCAGAAACAGCTGCTGTAGCCCAAGGGGGCAGCCTCCGATACCTCCGTCTTCTAGAGCTTGCTCTGTGCGTGTTCCTTTCATCTCCTGCCAGGGGTGGCCGGTGCACGCTCACTGGTTCCTAGATGCCACCCTGGTAGTCCCCGGGGGCCTGGTGTCCGTCACGGGAGCCTCTCTCCTGGCCCGCTCCACTCATTCCCCACTCCTCTCCGGAAATGCCACATCCACCCGCCGGCCCTGGAGGTGGTCCTGCCCCATGACACTGCCCCTTTAAGTATTCCAGTGGAGGGGGGTGGGCGATCAGTGGTCTCCCTCTCTCACTCGGAGGGTGGGTTCATTAGCTTTCCGTGGCGGTGCCGGACACCACAAAGTAGAGTCATTTCATACATCATCCGAGATTTGAAAAGCCCAGGAAAATGTTTCTCCATTTTCAATATTGCGTGAGTAATGTCCCCATTGGAAAGTAATGGAGTGAAGTTGTCAGTTGTCGGTGGTGTGGTTATTAAGGAGGACGAGTCTCCGATCTTTCTCTCCTAATAAAATAAATCTGTCAGAAAATCATTGTGCTCACACTTCCGCCTGCCCATCCTGGGTGAAGACGGTCCCTCTGAGTCCTGCTGCTCAGGTGTGCTGTACGGAGTGCTCCCAGGGGCCCCCTGCTTAGAAGCGGCCACTTTTCCCATGACCAGCCGTCCAGACACCTCACACCTCGCACAGGACCCCTGGGTGGCAGCAACCGGCTGCTGCTCTTCCTCATGCTGCCGGCATTTTGGCAACAAATTTCCAACTTTCCTCTCTGATGCCGGGCGTGCAAGGGCTGTGTGTGTGTGTGTGTGTGTGTGTGTGTGTGTCTTGCTCACTCGCTCCCTCATCTGCCTTGGACTTTGCTATTTCCTCGCCATCCAAAAGCAATAAGAGGCAGCATTAATGTGCGCGGGTGCGCATCAGAGGTGCCCGGTTAATGGCACAGCTGAGCAGTTAATGGGGTTTTTCAGATCATTCCGACGTTAATTAGAAGATCGCCCTCTCTCCACCCGCATCTCCCAATTGGCGCGGAGAGCGGGCTTCTCTCCTTGGCCATCCAAGCCATGAAGCTCCGGGCTCACCTTTCAGCCGGGCATCCCTGCCCTCTCTGGTCCATCAAGTCCGAGTAATTGAATTCTGAACTCGGCGACAGAGAGAACCAAGGTGTAATTCTGCAGTGGAGAAAGGGGAGCAGGAGGAGGGGAAAATTGGGGGCGGTCTCTTGCCGTAGGACTGCTCAGCACCCTGCCTCAGGGGACCTAAGGGTGTTTTCACGGGGGTCCCAGAAACCGTGCATGCCCGCGGCTGTGGCCTGGCCCAGCCTGTGAGCCAGACCTAACTTTCCCTTTGCTTTGCAGTCTCGGAAGGGCAGCGACCCAGACAAAGAGAAGAAAGGCCTGGAGAGCCGTGCGGACAGCATCGGGAGTGGACGAGCCATCCCAATTAAGCAGGTACACACGAGCGTGTGTGTGTGTTTCTGGCTTTTATTTTATTTAATTTCCCTGCTCCGGTAGCGGGAGACACAGCTCCTGCACAGGCCCGTTGGGTGTTTGATGTGCACTGTTGGTGACTGTGAGGCCGTTCACTTGACATCAATTAGGAGAGGTCCCGTGTGTATTAAAATAGGATCATTAGCATAAGAAGAGGACATGTGACCACAGACCTAATGAAGTGCGGTGTGCCGGCCGCATATGGAGTGCGTCCCAGAGATGAGCTGGCTTCACGGGCTGCCTTTGTCACTCGGCTTTGATTGGGCCAAGGACCGCCAGGCGGCGGGGGGAGCGCGGCTCGGTGGCACACGGGCCCCTTGTGATCAGAGGCCCGGCCCGACGTGGCCCTAATTTGCTCTCACAGACGGTCATCTGAACGCCGACACAGGCTGGCCGGGGACAGTGAGGCAATTAGTTGCCATAATCATAGCTCGTGTATCAGCTGCGTGCTCGTGTTTGTAATTTGCTAATGAAGGAATTGTAACTTTGATTAGGTTCAGTTTCATTTAGACCTTATTATCTAAAGGAACATTTACAGCTGTAATGGGGGGCCTTAATTAAACTTCCTCATTACACAACAGGACTTGAATTCAAGCATTTGTTTTGGCCTCTGCTGCTCGCCGCTGAGCGAGAGGGAGCTCGCCATTAGCCTGTAACCGGGTACCAAATGGCAGGGGCTCTCCGGTGAAGCCGCCGGCTGCTGGATGGCTCCCATGGCCAGGCAGGCAGAGTCCGACTCCCATCGTTGAGTTGGTGAGAGGTGGGCTGCCGGCCTCCACCCCACCAACACATTCTGGTGTTGCTCCCTCTTCTATGGGTGCCGGGTGGGTTTAGAAACCCGCGTAGATGCTAGAGAGGAAGCGGCGTCTGTAGGCAGAGGGAGCAACGTGCCACCGTTTGAAACCAGTGGGGATGCAGCACCCAAGTCTGGGAGATGTGAGAGAACGGCCTGGGTCATGCAGACTGGCCTGTTGCAGTTTCCCTGCGAGCCTGAGACTGGTACATAAGGCGGGCTGCACAGCAACGTGTGTGCGTGCATGCATGTGTGCAGCTGCTCTGATCTCAGCTCTCGGTCCACTCGGCCAGGAGGAGGGGAGGAGCCGGTGAGTGGCAAGTTCGGATGCTGGCTAGTGGGTGTGCATACGCGCTCCGCCTTGGCTGTGGGGGCACGCTGCCCTTCAGAACCGCCTTCTTGACTCCGGAGGACAGGCAGGCAATCCCAGGCTGTGTCGCCCGACACACAAACACAACCACCACCACCCAAGTTAAGAACCAGCCCCCGTAAAGCCTAGTTTGTTAATCTACCACCGCACCCCTACTCCCACCCCACCCCTGCCCTGTGTGCAGAGGAGCAATGGGGCTGCTTTGTGACGTACATCCAAATGGTCCTGCGATGGTTTTCCCGTGGCACTGTTGTTGTGTTAAAGGTCTGGTGTATCTAGAAGCGTGACGTTCTTTATACTTAGGAAAATGCACACTGTATATGGCATTCATCAAAGACGCGTTGAGCCCCCTGACTGCGCTCAGCTGCAGCTGTGAAAGCCGGCGACTCTCCTGCCTTCTTGCAGAAGCTGCCCCAATGCTCCTCGGCTCCACCCCCAGGGTGCGACCAGGCCCAGCATGGAACTGTCCCCGACACCATCTGCAGTGGGCAGAGGCCAGTCCCAGTGAAGACTGAGCTGGGAATTGTGGGTTCGCTGACCAGGAATACGCAGAGTGGTCCATAGAAATATAAGCCCTCACTTGGTTTACTGAGGGTAATGGGCAGGGGCTGTTCAGTAGCTGCCCCCACTCTGATTCATGCCCCCCCCCCCAGTGTGACCTCACTCCAGACGGAAGACCCCTTCCCAACATCCCCCATCTCCTCAGTCACACTGCATGCCCCCCACATTCCAGAGGCAGGGCTTTCCAAGCTTAAGCAGGTCCTGACTTCTCAGCCACTCTCCTACCCTGAGCCCTAACCCCATACCTGAGCCTCACCCCCACACTGCTTCACACCTATCCTGAGACCTAAAGCCTTATCTGAGTCCTGGTCCCACACCTGAGTCCCGCCCCCACATGGCCACGCCTGTACATCGAGTCCCGCCCCCACATGCCACGCTCCTGCGCTGAGCACTGGCCCCACACCTGAGTCACTGCCCCAGGCCACACTGGTGCCCTTACACCCCACTTCCATTCTAGCTCCCTTGACCTCCCCTTCCTCCCCAGCCCGCCTCCGGGAGTCAGGCCCACCCCCGCCACACCCCAGCTCATGGTTCTCAGCCTGCAGCGCGCTCCCCTCCGCCGTGGGTGTGCCTACTCCTGTGTCAGCCCTCCGCATCAGTGACCTGGGCGGGGCGCCCCTCGCCCCTGGAAACACGAGCAAGAAGAGGTGCAGGGCTGGGCGGAGCCTCTCTGCGTGTGGGGAGCAAGAGGGTCTTTGGGAGGGGAGGAGCCTGTGAGGACCCCCTGTCCGGGGCACCCAGAGGCCGCTAAGGCCTGGCCGTCGAGTAAACGCACAACCGAGTGCTGAGTGGTTGTGAAGCAGGAGCCCCTGGGCGGCACGCGTGACCCCTCTAGCTGAAAGGTGGGTGGGGCACGGCTGGGAGAAATGCTTGCAACCCCTGGGAAACGGCCGCCCTGTCCCGGTGGAGCGCAGTCCCGCTCACATCCACTGGGGGCGCCATGAGCCAGCATCCCCACTACAGGGCTTTGGGCTTCTTGTCTTCTAAGTGTCCCTTTTGACCCTCACACCTGCTGCCCTTGAATGTCTGCGACATCCCTGTTTTCACAAGACCCAGGGAGAGGGTCTCCGGCCCTGAGCTGACTGTGTACTGTTGAGAAGCAATCGCCAAACATTCTAAGCGAGATACGTGAGTCCCACCACAGACTTCCCAGGCTGACCTTGGCCTGCCCTGACTTTCTACCTGCCAGGCAGAAAGGGGGGGTTCTCAGGGGCAGACATGCATGGTTTGTGCCCAACTCGGCTCCTCAGGGCCTCCGGGGCCAGGTGAGGGTCGTGCTGTGGGGACCGGCCAGGGTTTTGATCACTGCAAAGCCCCCTGCTTTGCTTCTCCGACTTGGGTCTCAGGTGTTTTTGCAGGTGAGCCGTGTGCTTCGGGGTCCGCGGTGCCGTGTCCCGGCCCTAACAAGCTTCCCTGCCAACGGAGGTGCCTCATTCAGAACAGCACCTCTTTTCTGGGCCCATGGCTTCATTTTTCATGGGGTGGGGGGGTTGTCCCAGGCCCCCCTCGCCTTTCTGTTCTGTCTGGGGAGCGTGGCCCAGGGGGGTGCGATGACTTGGGCCCGACAAGGTGAGGTTTGTGTGGATACAAATGAAAAGGCGGGCCCCGCGCGCACGGGGCCAGCGGAGCGGAGCGGGCTGGTCATGTATGAATTTTTCATTGCTGTGGAGAGTTGTACATACATAATCTCTTGATTGCGGTGGGAGTTGGGGAGTTCCTGGGGTGTCATTTGCATAAATCTTGTTAAGTCAATGGCAGTTAATGAAGTACAAATGAGCCAGGAGAAGGTGACATGGAAATCGTGGGTGGCAGATGGGAGGTCTGTTTGGGGGACAGCAGCTGCGAGCGCTCCTTTCCCCCTCTGCTCCCGCTTTTAATCTCTATATTTGAGCTCCAGCACCCACTCCCTGCACTCTGCAGCCACTTGACCCTGTGCCTGCCCGCCCCAGGCCCCCCCAGCGCTCACTCTGCCAGCAGGACCCACATGGCTTGGACAACCCCCTCCTGTCAATGCGGCTCCTAAAGCACACAGTTCATTGCATGTGCTCTGCCCACAACCCTGAGTTGCCCTAGTGGCCCCACTCTGGGTAGAGCTCCCTCCAACTACCAGGCAGAAGGCCAGTGTGTCCAACCCCCTGCCACCGCTCTGAGGGAGAAAGAGGAGGCTGTCTGCTCCCATAAGGGTGCATAGCCTCAGAAACCCAGGGGGCCGGTCCTGCCCTGTCCTAGAGGGTTGCTTGGGCTGGAATGGACAGGACAGCAGTGGGTTGCAACCTTGAAGCATTCTCTCTACTATTTCTATGAGAGCATGGGTGGGGTGGGGGGCACATCAATTAAGCTGCTCACTGCATTTCTCCCACCGGAAGCTGCTGAGAGTAAAATGCTTTCTGCTTTGTTCTGCTTCCGGCTGGTGCCCTCCTTACTCTGACTCCCTTAAATGCCCGGGGGGAACTCTTCACGCCATCTCTGCTCCCCACTCCGGGAGTGTGGAGGCCAGAGAGTGAGCGCGGCTGGCAGGCAGGAGACATGTGTGTGCAAGTAGATCCAGAGGATGCCTCTTGCCACACCTTCTGCCCTTGCCTTATTGTTGTTGTCAGGTGCTTTCGAGTCTGCTCTGACTCACAGCGACCCCGTGGACCACAGAGCTAAACATCTCACGGTCCTGCGCCCGCTGCCTGATTTTTGTATGTCTGATCCCATCGTTGCAGCCCCTGTGTCCTTCCATCCTATCCAGGGCCTTCCTTTTCCCATTGACCCTCCACACTAGCAAACTTGACGCCCTTCTCCAGGGATCTGGTCTCCTGACAACATGTCCAAAGCATGTGAGACCGTCTGGCCACCCTTGCCTCTAAGGGGCATTCTGGGGACTGTGTTGGACAGCGTGAACTGCACCACAGGGCTCAGAAAGAGATCAATGTTTACGGAAACTAACTACCTCGTTTTTCTCCCCCAGAGCAGCTATCAGGCCTGGCAATTCCCATAATGGGGACCACCCTGGATACCCGCAGCTCATGTGTGTTTTTCTAAACTTTAGGGACAGCGTCCTTTCTTGAGCAGACTAACCCTGAGCAGCAGGGCTTCTCCCTGAAATATGGGGAGACCATCCCCAAGCCTTCAGCCCTGCTTGAGCCCAAGGGTGGACTGTTTGAAGCCAGGCAAGCTGAAAGTCCCTGGGCAGTCTCAACACAGCCGGCCTGCTGCCGGCTATTGACCCAGCTGCCTGTCCTTGGGGCCAGG